ATTTCATTTTTTCCAGATCCCCTTTTGTTGCCAGTTCAGTGGGTCCAGGTGGTTGAGTATCAGAGTGTTCCATCTCATTTCCCTTTGGGGTTGCTGTTGGTGATCTGGAAGTCTGATTTTGAGACTTATTTACGTGTTTTCTCATTTCGAGTGGGGCGGGTGGCTGTTAGTGCCTTCACAGATTACCTCCTCTGAGCTGGGAGAGGTGGGACGGGGCCAGTAATCCTTTGGTATATTTCTTTGTTGGATTAAATTTTTTTATGAACTTGTTTTAATACGGGTATTGTTTTTATTAAGGCTATTGTTACATAATATTTATAACTTATAAAAGTTACACTTTGAAAAGTGATATTTTCAAGGGCAGTGATTAAATAAGCAAAATGCTGTAAAATAACAAGAAACTGGTCAAGTTAATTTCTTTCTTTTTAAAAAATTTCTTAGATCTAATATATGGGTTGAACATCCTTAATCTAAAAATGTAAAATTCAAAATGCTGTGAAATCTGAAACTTTTTGAGCATTAATGTCCTGCTTTTAGGCATATATATATCTACATAAATATATATGTATGAAACAAATGTGTTTTCTGTTTCAAGTTGGGTCCCATTTCTAAGATATATATTATGTATATGCAAATACTCCAAAATCCCCAAAAAAGTGTAATTTGAAACATATCTGGTCCCAAGCACTTTGGATAAGGGATATTCAACATGTATTAAGTTTTATTGTTTTATTACTATTTTTTAAAGTACCAGAATTGTTAAAAAAATTATTCTTTTGGACTTTTTAATTTCATAAAGTCAAAGATATAACTGAAAAGTTCTTAAGAAAGATTTATTTATTTAAAAATTTTTTTTTCTTGTGCATTTAATGTATTAGTGGATCTGACTGCTTTATTAAAGTCTGTAGTATTTCTATTAGAGTGATTCCCTTCCTTGGGTAAAATATGGAAAGTAAACATTTTAATATGTGTTGCCTTGCCTTTATGATTACTGACTTTAGGTCTTCCTGATATTTGCGATAGCTTTCTGGAGAAATGGTTGGCAGAAGGTTATATTAAATGTAGACCTGATCAGTTGACCATAAATCAGTATGAACCTGGGCAAGGTAAGTATTTCCTCTTTTGAAATTCCAGTTATATATTTCAGAACCAAGAATGTTATGTAACTTTTTAAGATTAAGGATACTATATTTTAGTTCAAACTAACGTAGATTACTTTGCTTCTTTTCTTTTCTTTCTTTCTGTACTGGGGATTGCACCCAGGGGTGCTATACCACTGAGCTACATCCCCAGCCTTATTTATTTACTGCAGTAGTGAGAATTGAACCCAGGGCTTTTGTACTGAACTACATCCTCAGCCCTTTTAAAAAAATTATTATTTTGAGGTAGGGTCTTACTAAGCCTCTAAATTGCCCAGGCTGAGCTCAGACTTGTGATCCTCCTGCCCAAGGCTCCGAGTAGCTGGGATTATTGATATGAGACTTGCCCTTACTCTCTTGCAAATCTGCATTTCGGTCCCTGGAGGAATTTTAATCACAAAGTGCAAACAGACTGGCAGCAATTAGTTTGTGACTTCTTTTGTGTTGTTGTTTTGCTTTGTTCCTCTCTCAACATTTTATTTAGAGAGGGAGAGGATTGCTTGAAAAATATAGGAGACACGTGTAACAGAACCAAATAATTATAGAAGGAGGAAGGATGACTGTTGGATGATCTTTCCCCCCTTTTTTTGTTTAAGAATATGGAATGCAACTCTAGGATGACATTAGTTATAAGTTATAAAGTTATAAATAAGTTATAAATTTCTTGCATTTGTTAACATCTTCATCTGATATTTATAATAATCAAATGATATTTAAGAGTTTTGTAAATGGCAGTAGTTGTAGTTTTTTTGTTTTTTCTGCCTTTATCATGGTGTGCATTATGTATCATGATGTCTTTCCACTGGTCTGTAAACTTCTTGAGGACTGGGACTTTCTTACTTTGTATCCTCTTTCATGTAGCAAAGTTTCTTTACTAAGAGGTGTTCAATTAACTGATTGATAGATCAGTGGAGATAGCCATATCTTAATTATTGATATACTTAGTCTTCCCTCATGCCTGTTGCCTTTATTTTCCAAGGAGCTGGGACTCTAGTGCTCAACAAAAAGACTATTTATCTTCATGTTTCACTGGGGTTGGATAAATGTCCTAGTTAAGCAATGACTTCTGAGCCTTATTTTAGAGTTAAATCCCAATGGTACTTTAAGTTATTTAAAATATAAAGTCAAAATATTTTTAGTTTACATTTAATTCACTTTTGTTTTGTCATATTCACATTAGTTAAAATTATAGTACCTTCTTGATAGCCAAACAGTGTTTTCACCATAATTGTGTAAGTGTACATTTACAGTATAGTCATCTTAAAATCTACTAAAAGGAAAAATTAAGCAACATGTTATCCTATTTTCTATTTCAGGAATTCCTGCTCATATTGACACACATTCTGCTTTTGAGGATGAGATCATTTCTCTCAGTTTGGGGTCAGAGGTAAATGTTTAATCATTTTTATTAGTTGTCAGCATATGTTTTATCTAGTATAGTGCACTTTTCAGAGGATTACCCACATTCTAAATTAAAGTGAATTAAGATTTCTAAATGAAAAGTAAAGGCATTGTTAGCACTTTACTTTCTTGCAAAATGTGAAATTATCACAATTTGTCTTTTTAAATATCATCAGATGCTAGGAAAACACCTGAAATTTAGTTTTATATACATTTCACTTAGTAATTAAATCCAGACTTCCCTTGCTGGGGGGCGTGGTCAACTTTTGACCTGATGCAGCATTGCCATCTACTGGCAAAAGGTAGTAACTGCAGATTGTGGAACAAGACAAAACTAAAACGCATCTAGAATTTTGATAAACTTTACATATGTTTTCTGATTAAGGCCTTTCAAAAACTCTGAATGATAGAGGGTCATATCTGCACTTTTACATATGAAGAATAAGAGGCTCATATTTACTCACCACTGATTTGTTTCTGTAGCTTTGAACTGCTGAAGATCAAAACCATGATTTAAAATGGTACATACAAATTGCAGACAGAATTTTAGATATATATTAGAATTTTAAATATGTAATAATCCTTAAAATATGGAATCATCTAATCTCAACTATAGGTTGCTTCAAAGCCTGGTCTTGTTCCTGGAGGGAGATAGTATTTATTGGGTTGGTCCCCCTGTATTTGTATTGTTCCCATCACTGGATCTTCAGTGTTTCTACTTCTTAACCTTTTCTGGGCTCATGTGATCATGTTGATAGAGAATTACTGCTGTTCATTTGGTACTACAAAATCATCTTACCAAATACACATACGAACTCTTAATGTAGGAACTTTCAGGAGATAAAAATGAAAGAGCTCTTCTGTTTGACTTATTTTTACCCTTTATCCCTACTTGTAACTTTGGGGACCAGTAAAAAAAAAAATGTAGTGTTTTTTTCTTTACAACTGTATAACCAATTGAGAAATGAGACAAAAGATAAATGGAAATCAGAGCATCAACTTTCCTACTGAGAAAACTGATGACAGAATATATCTTTAGATCTGTGGTCCAGTAGACTTTTAGTACTTTACCTCTGAATTAAAGAAAAATTCTGACCTTGTCACTGGCACAACTGGACAGGTGGAGACCTCCCCCATGAAGGCAGAGGCTGCCCCTGTCAAATAGGATACAAAGGAGCATGTGCTGGATCCTACAAACCAGCTGGTTCTGAAAAAGAGAAGAAAGCACTGAGCCAAGTGATCCTAGCTCTAAGTTTACTGATCAGCTAAGGTGTTGTTTCTTTCCTCAGTAGTTGTGAGTGAAGAGATGGAGAAAAATTAGGAGTGTATTTCCTATTTTCCACTCCAGTGAAATTCCCTTCCCTCCCAGGGAAGGAATTAGGACTCAGTATACCCTCAACATCCGACAGAGTCATTATTCAGTTTTTAATGAAAAGTTGTAAAGAAGAGAAATCTTGCCCTTTAGTTGGATTGAAAATCTGCTGCAATTATTATTCCCATTTGATGACACTGAAGGCATAAATAGGAATGATGGAGTGTCTAGTGAAAGCCTTCTTTGTAATAGCTGGAAAGTATGTGTGTTCTAAGCTATGACAGGAATAATAGATTTTTCTTTACAAGATAGCTTTTGGGAGTAAGTGAATTTTTATAATTTTGAAAAAATGCTTACTAAACTTTTCAGTTTTTCATGTTATTTCAAATAGATCACTAAATTCAGCCCCTTAAGGCCTAAAAGGGGATTAATAACATTTCTTTCCTGGCTGAAAGAATGTGATGTGAATAAAAAGAGTTATTGAATGTTAAATATTTTTCAATCCTTACATGCAAAGGTTTATTAAGACATTCCTCTTCTAGGGCTCCTCACTTAAAACTTTCACTTCTGCAGCAGCCTAAAAGTAGGATTGCAAGTGGCCACTGGAAAGATGGCTTTTGTCTTTTCTTGCATTTAATCACTCTTGTACACTGTTGTGGCTCTGTTTTTTTTTTTTCTTTTCTTTTTATTGATGCTTTGTAATTTCTTGAATACTTTCCTAGCTCCTTTTCTAGACCTAGATTTTGGGTACTGTACCTATTTTTTAAATTTTTATGTGTTTGCATATTTTCTGTTGTTTATTTTGCCACTGATTTCTAGTTTCATTTCACTATGATTGGATAATATGTACGGGATAATTTTGATTCTTTTGCATTTACTTAAGTGTACCTTATGGGCTACCATATGTGGTCTGTTTTGGAGAAAGTCCCATGTGCTGCTCTGAAGAATGTGTATTCTGTTGTTATTGGATGGAACATGATGTAGGTATCTCCTAAGTTCATTTGTTCAAATGTTTGGTCCAATACTTAAATTTCTGCCTTGTTGATTGGTTTGTGACAGTGAGATATTGAGGTACTCCACTATAATTTTTTTTTATTGGTAGCAAATTTTTATTAAAGGTAAGAAAAAAACAGGCTCTGCAGTGTGAGTTTGGACCAACAAAAGTAGGAAAAGAAGTACACCTTTCACTGTGAGGGTGGGCCACCATGCGAGAGAATACAGTTGCAAAAACTCAGTGTTGTTGTTTTTGTATCATCCACTCCTCAGGCTGATGTCAGGTCTAAGTTCTGTCCGCCTAGCATTATGGCCTGTGGATTTGTGAGGTGCCCCCCGTTCCAGAGGCCCCTGTGTTCATTCACCCCTGGCTGTTTAAGTAGTCTAAGCTTAGGCGTGACCTTACTCATATTGGTAGTTGAGGAAAGCAATCTGATCTCTAATCTGTACTGGATATAGGCAGCAGGGCAAAGGTTCAAGCAGACTACTGTACTTAAGGGCAGCACTTTCAGGCCTAGCTGCTTTTGAAATCCACACATGCCACACCTGGCTTTCACCATGGAAGGTGACCCCCACGTCCTGCCTGGCCTGAGCTTAAATGTTGTAGGGGGTCTGTGTCTAGCCTATGCCCTCTTGTGACTGTCTTCCATGGCTGTCTCTCACACAGTTATTGTGGGAGAGTTACACTGGGAACTCTGAGATAAAGTTCGTTTTCAGATGTTCTGAGGTTTAGTCTTAAATAATCAGCCCCTTTTTGAAATGGTGCCTGAAGGAAACACTCTCTGGCCAAAATGCACATGCTGGACTAGATTCCTTCTTCAATTGTTGCCTGCCCTGTGGAAGGAGTCACCCTCTGAGTAAAACCCTATTATTTTTGTATTTTATAATAGCCGTGGGCTTTTCTAGGGTCCAGTGCTGCTGGCCTATTCTGTTGTTTCTCCCTGGACCTCCCAACTCTGGAGGCTTACCTTGTGTCTACAGAGACAGGTTTCTCTGCCCAGGAGCTGGGGAAAGCTTCCAGACTGCTTTGTTTTTGTTTTAGTTTTTTTCTGCATTGTGGTCTGTTTCTCTAACTTCTCTGTAGCTTCTAATTTTCCTGTCAGCTCCCTCCTAATTTCTGGAGATCCACTTCTGTATTTCTTTTGGTCAAGTTGTTATTTTCCGGATGTCCGGATTCCGGGTGCCAGAGAGGTTGTATTTTGCTACTGATTACTACTGTGCCATTTTGCTTCTCTGAGAAAGAAAAATTTTGAGTAAAACTTCAAAGCTGGGAAAAGAAACTAAAAATTATAAAGATAGCCTAAGTTGTTTAACAATATTTAGATTGTATTACAACTATATACTAGTTTTTAGAATTAAGGAGTCAAGAAGCATTATTTTGATAAAATATACTGTCATAAAAATTCCTTTGACTTTTATAACTTGATTATAAAGATTTTAATAATTTCCCCCAAAATTATTGAAATTGTTATCAATTTTTCCAGGAATCTGTCTTAAACCACTGAGATTCACATTCTATTTAGAAACATTGTGCATCATTGTTGTATTTTTTTCTCTTCTTCATTGCAGAAGTCCTGACTCCTAGATTTTCAAATCTTTAATAACCTTGCATGTTATTTAAATGGTTCTCTGATATTGCTTTAATCAGCTTCAGAAAATCTATCTTTGCAATGCAGAAATTGTGATTTCAGTTTGTTAATATTTACTTTGTATTTGCTAATATTGATAACACTGACATTCACTGAAAGACTGGCCAAAGGGCTTAGTAGAGTGGGTAGAGATAGCTGATGTTGAACACAGAAATATTTGGGCCATTACTAATTTTATAAGAAGTCAGTTCATCAGTAAATATTTCTTATTACAACTTTTGCTACTCAGTGAGCTGGGATAATTGGATACCTAGGTGATGAAAATCCCCTCTCTTGCATGCCTATTAGAGGGTGCATTTGTCCTTATTTTCTCTGCTATCTCTCTAGGCTAGGGGTTTCAGCAAATTGCTGCTCAATCCAGGCTTATCTCCTCTAGTAAGATATTGAATAAAAGTTCTTTGTCAGTTGTCTTGAAATAACCAGCTGAATGGTGTGGTAGCTTTCATAGCTCTTTTAGTTTGTTTTCAATGTAGTTTGGCCCCAGAGATGTTCTTGTGTTGAAGCAGTTCTCATCACTTCTCTCAGGAATGACTCACAGGGTACTTATTCTTTCAGAAGTTTATTGTTTTAATGGACAGATGTTCGATTACTTTGTGATCATCAGCACAAACTGGAAAAAACACCCAGATGTTTTCTTTATACAATTTTAAACAACAAATACAATCTGGACTGCAGACATTGTGACTTCATCTCCTTCTTCACATTTAGCCTTCAGTATTTACATGCACTTATAAGAAATGTTTACAACTTTAGCAGCCAAACAATCTTCTCCTCATTTCTATCTTGTTTCCATGTTTTAACTTATCTAAATCAAGATTATTATCTTTGTCTTCAGCCATTTGCCACCTACTGCCATTTGCCCATATAAGACAAAGCAAATCATTGCTCTGTCTGGGTTTTCTTCCTTGGTTAATGATCCAGTCAGAACCTGGGAAATATTCTTGACATGTATATATATTTTTAATGATAATTAGATAGATCAGAAGTTAAACTTACAGAGTTAACAGTGAGATCATATGAAATCGGGATTTATATGCTATTATTAGCAATAAACTCTTCTTAAAATGTCTGCTTTATATCATACCCCTTTTTGAAGATGATTGCAGTTATGGCAATCATTGGAAACCATAGATACTGGTGAACTAAAGTTTGAGCTAGATTTTGAATCACTGTATTGTAATGTTAAACTGAAATTATAAAGTAATTCAACTTTGAAATAAAATACTTTAATTCTGGGACTGATTAAAGAAATTCATTATGCATATAAGCATTCAATTTAGCAAACTTAGGAATTAGTCTAAGTACTAAATAATAGAGGAATAGACAGTAAATCATAGTATTACTGTATAATAGAATAGTAGGCAGACACTTAAAATTATAGTTAACTCCTGTGTCATTATGTTGAAATATACTTACAATGCTTGTAAATAAGTAGATGTCAACAGTGTTCTTGACATGTATTTGTAAGATTATACTTTTTTTTTTTTTAAGACAGAGTCTCACTATGTAGTTCAGGCTGTCCTTGAATTCACTGTGTAGCCCAGGCTGGCCTCGAACTTGCAGCAATTCTCCTGCCTCAGCTTCCCAAGTTCTGGGATTACAGGCATGTGCCTGGCTAAGATTATACATTTTTAAATTTTTTGGTGATGCTAGGAATTGAACCCAGGGCCTTCTCTCCCTCATGCTAATCTCTATCACTGAGCTATATCCCCAGCCCAAGAAATTTTGCTTTTAAGTACTGTTTTATTAAGTCCCACGTTTTCTTTGTAAAAACAGCTTTATGGAGGTGAAATTTACACACAGTAAGCTGTATATATTTAATAAAAGCTCATGAAAGGATTATCAAATTCAAGATAGTGAGCACATCTATTCCAAAAGTTTCTTCATGCACTGTTTTCCTCAGCAGTATGAAGAATACAAAAATACTTCCAGCCTTGGTTTTTTCCCTCCTTAGATGCTATATCTGACTATCTAACAGTCTAAAAATATTTTAGCTTCTTCTTCTCATGCACTAAAGGTTTCACTTACTTCTGACTTAGGTTATTCTTGTTAGCTTTGGGTTCTTTTAAGATGTTTTTTCTTTATGTTTTGTTTCCTATAGTTTTATTTTGATGGGCTTGCTTATTCTACTTTGAGGTTTATTAGATCCCTTGAATCTGTGGGTTGGTTTCATCCATCAGTTTTGTAAAATTTAGACATTACTTTTGTAGATAGGGCCTCTGTCCCATTTTCTCCCTTTGTCTACCTTTTCTCTATATTCTTTATTTCACTTTTCCTTTTCTTCTATTTTCCATCTTTTGTCTCTCCATGCTTCACTCCAAATAGTTTCTTTGAAACTTAATTCTTTTGCTATGTTTAATTTGATATTAAACTCATTCATTTGATATCCTAATTTTAGTCACAGTATTTTTCTGTTCTGGAAAATCTGTTTGGTGTCTCTTGTTGTCATTTTCCTTCCCTATTAAAGTTTAGTATTTATATCTTTTAACATGGTAAGCATCTTTTTATAGCTTGTATTTGATATTTAAATATTTGAGGTTCTTATGGTGTCGTACCCCTCTCAATCTCCCCCCCACCAGACTGTCTTCTTTCCAGAGCAGGTATTGTGGCTTATTCTGATTCAGAATGTTTAATATGATGTCTGATGTCTGGATTTTGTATTTATTGAAGGGTCACAGTGATTGTGTTGTTTAGCTGGGATTTTTGACCATTAAGTTAGAAAATGCTAATGCTGTATATCAACTTCAAAGGCAATAAGAGTTTAGATTTATTCTTTCAAAGAATAGAAGTGAAGTAATATAGACACCCAGTGGCAGTTCTGATCATCACTCACTTAAATATTCCAGAGCAGTCTTAGAAACTGAAAAAGTTGAAGCCTATGAATATTTTTACATCTTTAAGTATTTGTACCAGAACTGGGTTCAGCACTGGGCCAGTCAGGAGGCTTGGGCTCAAGCTCATCCCTATTTGTAACTTGTAATTGACATTGTCACAAAATACTTGGATTTCAGTTGTCATAGAGAGTTGATAAATACCTAGTCCTATGACAGTAACAATAACTACTGTTGCTCTTTCTGCCACTATCAGTGCTGCCATTTCAATGACCACCTCAACCAGCAATCACATAGTCTATGCTAGAGACGATGGCAAATGCTGTACTTGAGCATTTTTCTATGAGGAGCAAACCAGGCCTTAGGAATAGATAGAGATACCTTTGATTTTTATTTTTTGTAACTCTAGTCATCTTGTTTTGGTTATATATGTATAAGAATATGTAAATTTATTTCACATAAGGAAGAAAGCCTAGCAAATAAACAAATGGAATTTAAGAAGCCTTCTGTCTAAAAATGTGAGATATATTATCCTATTTTTTCAAACAAATTATTTATGATTAATTCATTTAAAAATTTGTCAAGTATAATGCACTAGATAGAATAATAAGCAAGATGTCTCATTACCTCTGTTTTGTGACTTACATTTTGTTGTTGTTGTTGTTTATTTACCTACGTTTTTGAAATAGGATCTCACTACATAGTTCAGGCTGGCCTTGAACTCTCTACATAGCCCAGGCTGGCCTTGTACTCATGGCAGTCTTCCTGCCTCAGTCTCCTAAATGCTGGGATTACAGGCATGCACCACCAAGCCTGGCTTTGTGACTTACATTTTTGAGCATCCATTTTTGGGTGATGGTAAATTTCACTTCATTGTTCCTGCAAACAAATGAAGCCATAGTATGATAAATGAGGGTGCATACACAGCAAAGGGTATCAGTATAAACACATAAGCATGAGCCTATTATCTCTTAGGAATTTAAATGAAGCATCTATAATATTGAGTACGCAGTAGTGACTAAAGTATCTCCAATTCAGCATCTTTTCTAAGTTAATTTTTCTGTTATGCAATGTATATTTTACTCTGCATTGTGCTATTTGGCAATATATTTAGACCATTGAGCTAGAAGATGCTATTTCTTTTTATTTTATATTATACTTTCGCTTAGCCAGACAAAACAGTTCAAAACCATCTATAATTGGGAGTGAAGAAGAAGAGATAGTAGAACGTATTCATTCTGCCGCTGAGACCTAGTTTTGGAAAGCAGAATTGTGTTTGAAAGGTAGAATTTGCTAACTTAGGCTATAATGTAGATTTTTGGGTGATGTTTTCTTTTAAAAAGTTTGGTTAATCTAATTTTACCTGTTTCACAATGCAGTACTGCAGATACATTCCCAGATATGTGTACCCTAAATGTGTGCATGGTACCTGGCCAGCTATGAAAGTTTTTACACCGGAAGCATACAATGGTGTTCTCTTTCTCATATTCTGTCTCAGGAGCAATGAGAAATAAATGCCTTTGGACTGTACTGGTTTATTTATTTTTTGTTTTCCCTGGTATTGGGGATTGAACCCAGGGAGTACTGAGTTATATCCCAGCCTGTTTTATTTATTTTTTCCCCATCTTGAGACATTAAGTTAAGTCATGAACTTTGAGTCATTAAGTTGCCCAGGCTAGACTTGAATTTATTCTCCTGCCTTAGCCTCCCAAGTAGCTGGGATTACAGACATGCACCACCATAGTTGCTGCACATATTATATAAGGGCCCACCTTCCCATGCCATAGAGTGCCATCCCATTTTCATATTCTAATGTGTTTCCATCTCAGGACCAGAATGCAGTGGCCTGTATGTTGTAAATATTGATGCTGATTGCAAGACAAGGGAGCTGAACTTGTTTTCTTTTTATTGCTTTCAAATGAATGGTCCTGTATGATGATTTCAGTGTGTGATGGTGATATTTTCTCCTTTCCTTTTGTTTCACAAGATTTGATAATTTGGGGATTCCAACTTTCAAATAATTTATTCAAATGGATTTAAGTCTCCTGTATGTGTTTTATTTATGTACTTATTATTGTTATTATCATTTTTAAAAATAGCTTTCCTATAAGAACCAGGACAGTGAAATAGATTTGTTGTGGGCTTTGATTTTAACTTATCTTAAGGGAGCAGGCTGTACAGCATTGGTAGAAGATTTAAAGGTCATGACATTAGCTATTGGTCTCCAAGGTATCTCCAGGGCAAAATTATCAGTTTCTCTGCCATGGAAAAATACGGCATAACAGCAAGCTTCTCTTTCATCTACTCTTTAGCTTGGCAACATCTGCTTCTGGGAGAATTATTTTTGTTGAGAGGCAGGAAACTATTTCTTTCACTAAGAATGCTCCAAGTTCCTCTTATTCCCACAATGGACAAATTACGATATGGTGGGAATCTAAGTTTGTGTCTAGGGAATATATGTAAAGACATTTTTGGCCTAGCTGTATTTCTTTGTAAATAGTTTAAGGTTTTAATATTTTATCCTTGCAATTTTGAATTTCTCTCCCTTTTTCCTTCTTTCTTTCTCACTTGCCTAGACATGGTAGATACTTCTGTCTATAATGAGGTGTGTAGAATCCCCTGTTTACTATTTAAAATAAAAAATAAACTCATTTCATTTGGGTCAGGTAAAGATGTTAGCACAATTACAGAAGATTTGTATTTGCTATGTTGTGGGGAAACAGGTGGACTTTGAATGGTGAAATATGTTTTCTCAGGCCTTTCAGGTTTCATCATTCTCTGTGAATCATATGTCATTCGTCACATCAGACTGCCACTTGTCCAACTATTCTTCAGGGTTTCTCTCAAAAGATGAATGACTCAGCCTATTTCTAACCATTAAGGATCAGGATTAAGTTTGTCTTCTTTTCAGACTATTCCCAGAAGTGATATGTTCTTCATTTTCCTATTTAGCCAACATGGAGATTTATTTATTCCTTCAGGTACTTTCCTGTCATGAATCTCATCTGTACTGGGCTGATAGAGTGATAACTATGTCTAGGGTATCGTTCTGTTGCATTTGGATACGTAAAGGTGGTACAAGATCAGAATGTCTTAAGATTTTCGTTTGCTTTGAAATGGACATTATCCTTGGTCACGCCTCATGAGCTTGCTGGGGACTTGATATTTATTGATTCTGCTATCTCAGAAAGTAGAGAAAATAGGTAAACCCAAAAAGGAATAATTGGAAAAAGCTCCGGTGGAGCAGGACTGTCACATGGCAGAATGATTCAGCAGCTGCAGGGCAATGTTATTGATTGTGAATCTGTCATGAATTGTTTTTATAAAGCCTTTTATTTTTCGTCTTATAACAAGCATTATTTAAGTAAATAAGATAAGTAAGTAAGATCCTTTAAGTATGAGGAAACTGTAAGTATTTTATTTTGATGATTGTTTTAATAAAATTTAATTTTCATGGGAAATGTATATTTAATTATATAAAGAAAAATGACTTCATAAATGAAGATACTATCAAATTTTATGCTAGAATAAGTTTCAGAGTTATAAAGATAAGTAACAAAATAAGAGTTAATATTTATCTAATCATATGAAGGCTTTGTAAGCATACACAGAAATAGATTGTGTTTTTATATTCCATAAGCACAAAACAATAGATTGATATAAAAATTGCAAAACTTAAAAATTGTTATTTGTGGGGCTTATAGTGAAAACATGGGTTCTTTATTCAAAAAGCAGGAAAAAGTATTATTAAAATTGCTAAAACATGAAAGCTTTCCATGCCTGGGGGTACACATCTATAATCCCAGCACTCTGGGAGGCTGGGGCAGGAGGACTGCAAGTGCCCAGCCTGGGCTACTTAGTGACTTAGTCTCAGAATAAATAGAAAGGGCTGTGATTTAGCTCAGTATGAAGGCTCTGGGTTCAATATCCAGTACTGTTAAAAAACAACAACAACAGCAAACTTAATTTTTTCTTTTGTGAACTCACAATTTGTCAAGGTTGTTTTTATTTGCTATTTAATGTAATCCTTAGTAAAGAAGTCTAAACTTTAGATTATTGGCACAAAATTTGTAATTTTTTCTTTTTATTGTACAATATTAGTTATAAGTGAAAGTATAAGAACATTTAATTCATATGCAGATTCACCAAACTTAAACAGTTTTTACTTTGTACTTATACATATATATTATGTATGTTTTATACATATGATCATTTTTTATCAGAACAGTGGAAACTCTACACGAAACTGATTCAACTGTAACTTTTTTTGTTTTACTTCTGATATGTGTGTTCTACCAAACACTGTTTATCTTCTGTTTATAAGGATTAAGAAATCTGACTCCAGGCTGAAATCCTATGTAATTTTTCAGCCTGAGTGTAGACAGTTACAGTGGCTTTACCCAGAAGGCTTCACGGTGTTTTCTGAAGGTCCTCAACCCCTTAACCCCCATTCCCATTGCACAGCTGGTGTATATTATACTTTCCAAGGAGTTTCAGTAAAGGACTTGAGCAGTCATGCTCTTGCCTGTTTGCATTCCCAGCCCAGGTATATGCTAGGCAAGTGCTATACTACTCAGCCACATCCTCAGCCCTTTTTAAAGTTTTATTTGAGACAGGGACTCACTAAGTTGCCCATACAGGTCTTGAACTTGCAATTCTCCTGCCTCAGCCTCCCACATGGCTGGGATTACAAGTATGTGCCACTGTGCTTGATTAGAAAATTAAATTGTCACCTTATTTTACTTTCCATACTTAGATTGAAAGAATAAGTGAGAAAGGCAAAAACCCACCTTAAATCTGTATAATTCTTATATATTTCATAGAATTTTCATATGTATTATCTAGTTTGATCTAATATTAGGAATGATAACATTAACAACATTTAGTAACATTCATTGAATGTTTACTTTGTGCCAGGTACTGTGCTGAATTTACCTTGAAGGAAGGTGCTATGCTAAGTTTTCTTTATCCCACTCATACTTTGTCATCATTTTCATTTTTCAAATGAGTTGATCTCTTCACTTGAAAAAATATTTTTCAGTCCTTTGGCATGCTCTTTAAATTCACATTTGTCAGCTGCTGCTATTTTTAGTCAGAAACTTTTGGTGTTTCATGGGCCACTAGGACAAAAAATACATTTCCTTGGGTGTTGTATCTTTACAGGTTGCTGATCAGAATATTTGAGCATAACTCAAATAAAGTTTAAAAAAAGTTGCTAAAACAGCCTCTGTTTTCTTTGATCATCTCTTATTAATTGGCATCTAATTCTAGCACGTTACATGGCTTTCAAGGTGCAGGATAAGTTCTATGAGAATCATTACTCAGTAGCATTTTATGAGTAAAAATAACCACAGGGCTGGGGATTTAGCTCAGTGGTTCCACCACCTGCCTCACAAGCATAAGGTCCCGAGTTTGATCCCCGCACGCCCCCCCCAAAAATAACCATAAGTACTCTTTTGTATTTACTATAGGTGAGACACTATAATTTCTATCCATTATTTATTTATTTCAGGTAGCAGTTCTTTAAAGATGAAGAAAACCAGGGCACAGAGATTGCATGGCTTATCCTGGGTCACGTGGCTTTCCATAGTAAATGGAAGAGCTGGGATATGAATTTTAGCTCTGAAGTCCTTACGTGTGACCACTATGGTAGGGTTTTCTATGGTATCATCCTCAAATCACCCACTGCCCAGGTGATTGTTAGAAATGCAGAGTCCTGGACCTCACCTCAGATCTGCCAAGTCTGAATCTTTATGGGTGAAAAATGTTTTTTTTGGTTGTTGTTTTTGTCATTCAGTTGACTCTTATGACACTATAGAACCATTATGCTATGCTATTATATAAGCATTATCATTTTTTAATATCCATTAGCCTAGAAAGATGGCCAGGATGAATAAATCATCCTTATCCTTGGAATATTGGAGTACCTGAAATTTTGAATTGCTCTGTATGTTTTTGTCTTTGCTCTCAGGTTGTTATGGATTTTAAGCACCCAGATGGTATTACAGTACAAGTTATGTTGCCTCGTCGGAGTTTGCTAGTCATGACAGGAGAATCTAGATATCTTTGGACCCATGGGTATGTACTGAAATGACCTTGATGACTGGGTAACTTTTACTTTGTGAGACCTTTCATTCTTCTGTGTCTGAGCCACTAGAATCATGTCCTGTGCCTGCACATTGAAACATCTGGGTTCAACCCTCCAAGGGGCATCTTCAACTTTTCTTTTCAGTTTTTATTTTCAAACTTAAAGCAAAGTTGCAAGGATAGTAGAGTGAACTCCCTTTGCCTTTCACCTAGATTTATCAATTGTGAACATTTTGCCACATCTTATATTTCTCGCTCACATGTGTTATCATTATTAGTTTTGCTGAATCACTTGAGAGTTAGAAGCACATACCATAATCCTTTACCTTTACATGCTTCATTGAGTATTTCCTAAGAGCAAGAATGTTATCTGTATCAGTGTTTGACAAACCATGGCTTGTGAAGCAAATTTAGTCCTTACCCTGTTGTTGTACAGCACTTAAGCTGAGAGTAGATTTTATATTTTTAAAGGACTATAAAACAAAATAAAAACAATGAAGAGTAGTTGACTTTATATGCCCTTCAGTGCCTAAAATATTTATTATCTGCTCCTTTACAGAAAAGATTGGCTTACTCTTGTTCTATAAAACCATAGTACAACTTTCAAATTCAAGACACTCAACATTGATAAAATATTCTCATACAATCCATATTCAGATTTTGCTAGTTGTGTAGCACAATACTCTGCAGTAAACTTTCTTCGATTCAGGATTTAGTCCGTGATCCTGCATTATCTTTAGTTGTTAATTCCGTTTAGTCTTTTATTTGAAATACTTTGTCTTTCATGACATTGATTCTTTTGAAGAGACCAGTTGCATTGTAGAATGTTCCTTAATTTGAGTTTCTTTGATTTAATGTAAAGCTAAAGAAATGGGCTATTTGCTTTTGTTAGGACTGCCTTCTGAGGAGAGAGCATTAAACTACTAAAATTTATATATTTTCACTTAAAATATTGCTAAATTCTGTATTTATAAGTTCTGTTCTGGTTAGAGATTTTAGCTGGCGAATTTTTAATAAAATGTCAAGAAAATGAACATGTAAATAAATTTGTGACCTGTCTTCAATGTGAGCCATAAAAAAGATGGCCTGATTTTGTGTACTGGGGCTTACATTTATTTGATTTTTTAAAATTCATGGCTAGTAAAATATTTGTACTTAAAATAAGTAATATAAGTGATCATAATGATGTGACCCATTGACCTCATGTATTTATTTAAGCTTTTTAAGAATATTGATATTACAGCAAATATAAAATAAAGAATTACTTTTCATATATTATGAAATATTTTAATGTATTCTTGGTAGTGGTATAAGTTCTAAAAACATCATTTTTTTCATTTTTTTAAGGAAACATCATTATGATCATATTATTATTCTCTTGTGAAAAGCATATTGCCCTATTTCTGGAAGGTTGGAGTATAGATATTAATTAATTATTTATCTATTTATTTTTTTGAAACAGAGTCTCTTTGTAGCTCAGCCTAGTCTTGAATGTATGATCAGCCTATCTCAGCCTCTTGAGTGCTAGTATTACAGACATGGATCACCATGTTGAATTGGATTATTGATAATATTTATTTAGGAATTGTTGCTCTAGAATCAAAATTCTTTCTAATATTTTGAGGGGAAAAAAATCCTATTATTTCAGAAGGCTTCCATTAAGACCCATTGCCTGTAATGTGACTGAGAGACTGTGAGAGCATGAGTGAGTGTGGGGGAGGGGGCATTCAGAAAAGAAAGATGGAAAAGAGGGCCAGGAAGGAAGCAGAGACAAGGAGAGAAAGAGACAGACACTAAACAAACACTGAGATAGTTATCAGATGTTTGGTGAAAGGGAGAATTGATTCAAAAAGGCATATTTATACATTTTTAAAAGTATTTGAATTACAGGAAGTAAACCTTGATAAAAACTTTTTGATTTCTCACCTGAAAGAAAAGCACTACAAAAAACTGTACAGGGACATGGATTTGAAAAGGCTAATATTGCCCTTTATTATTAAATACCTTAATCTAACTTTAATTTGATCAAATTCAAGTTTACTTTTCCAGCAACTGTCCTCTTAATCAAAATTGGTGAGCTGGTAGCGCATGGGTGAATTTAACAGATATGCTCTGTTTGGCTTGTGTAGTGGTTGTCCACATTGGTGGCAGGTTTTTTTTTTTAATTGCCTCATTTAAAGAAAAAGTCATGAGTTTTCACTCAAAACTGAATTGTCATCTTCTTTTGAAAATTGAGAACATCTGGCAACATTGGGCCATAATATTGCTTGGCAGCAGTGATCAAGACTGAATTCAGTGACATTCTGTAGATGGGGCCTGCTTCTCCAGTTCCATACAGTTCCTATCCTTTTCTATTCCTCCCTGATAAATGGTTGAGTATCTGTTATTACTTATCAGTGCGCATGCACAATTGCTTTTATCTTATAACAATTAAATGCAAATTAGTATTTCTTGAACTCATGTGTATATTGCAAGAAGGAAATGGAAGCTACGTTGAGTGAGAATATATGTTTCCAGAAAATGGAAGAGAATACTTCACTTTTTTGAAGTGAAGACTGTTTCTATGTGTTTGCTAGACAATCTGCTTGCTTCACTTACTTATTGTGAGCATATGTAAACTCTGCCTTTAAATTGTTTTTGGAGCATTTTCTTTGTGCCAGCATTATTCCAAAGGCTTTCACATACATTCACTCATTTAATTCATGCAACGACAGTGGAAAGTTTATTCTATTGTTTTTCCTCGATATTTTAAAGGAGATTGAAGCATAAAGAAATGAAGTAACTTGTACAAAGCCACAAAGCCAGGCAGTCTGCCTGTGCCCTGTGCTCTCAGCCATGTTAAAGCTGCACTTGTCTGCCCCCTTGCTATGAGCATCTGCTGTGTCTAGCTTTCACACCTTTGTCACCCCTCAGTGCGGTATGTTTTCTTGTCCTTTCACTCTGTTTTTCAGATACACTCAACTTTTAATTTCTTCATAATTTTGTGATGATTTTTGTGACTGTATTAGCTTGAAATAATTTATCCATTAACTCTTAAAGACTGTTATCATCTTCTACTGACTTGAGATGTCGCTCCTATTATATTGAATTATTATTTAAATCTATAAAACTGTTACTTTTTTAGTATTTTCTCAATATATCTTTAATATTTTTGGCTACTAGAGTAACAATAATATAAATTCAGGTAATGACTACTTGTTTTGACGTCTTTAAAAATGCCTCTGGTACAAGCTCTTGAAAAGAGCCATTCTACTAACTTGTTTTGAAGTAGGCATTACTCTTGACACCAAAGCATGTGAAAGACATTACAATCAAAGCAAATTACAGACCACTTCTCTCATGACAGACAAGAAAATCCTTAACAAGCTTTCAGTGATACAAACAGACCACTGTGGCAAAGGCACCAAAGGTTCACCACCACTGATATAGAATAATCAAAAGTACTAAAAGAGAAAAACAATGTTGGAGGCTTTTATTTTCTACCATATTTTTAAGAGTTACTATAACAGGTCAAGAGAAAATACTGTTGGTGTTCAGACAGACAAATAGATCAGTGGGACAGATCAGAGTCCAGAAATAGATTTACACATAGAAGGTCAGATGATTTTTGACTACAATGCCAATATTATGAAACGTGGAAAGGAAATTTTTTGACAGGTGCTGAATAGCCTTGGAAATAAAATGAACTTTGATCTACCTCATACTTGTCACAAAAATTAATTTGAGGTAAATCATAGATTTAAATATAAAAGTAAAAACTGTAAAATGTCTAGAAGCGAATACAAGAGAATATCTTCAAAACCTGGGGATAGCTAGTTTTTAAAGATTTCAGAACATTACTGTAAAAAATAATTAGACCTCATCAAAATTGAAAACTGTTCATTGAAAGATACAATTAAGAAAATGAAAAGGCACTCATAAATGGGGAGAAAATATTATATATATATATAAAATATGATGCCTTGGTTCATGAATACTTCTGTTCGCGAACAATTTGGTTGAAAAACAGAAGCATTTGGCAAAATTTTGCTTCCGTTCACAAACTCTGCATCAGATGAGGAACATAACCATGGCCATCTTCCCTAGAATAGTTGATGAATTAAGTTGAACCGAGATAGACAGACAGACAGATATATCACCAATGAGCACATGAGATGATGTGCAACATCATTAGTCATCAGAGAAATGTGAGTTAAAGACTTAATTTTATGCCACTTGACTTTCGATTAAATAAGTAAAAAACTCATACAATGTCAAATGTTGATGAGAATGTCAAGTAGCCTGGACTTCTCTTTTGTTGGTGATTGGAATGTAAAATTGTATAACCACTTTGGGAAATGGCAATTTCTTACCCTATGACCCATTAAGCTCACTCTTAGGTATTTATCTGAAAATAACTAAAATATATGTGTATAACAGTGTTGCAGAAACCTTATTTGTAATAGTCCCAAACTGGAAGCACCAAAAAAGTATTGACGAGAGGTTTTGGATGAATTCTCTTATGTTCATACAATGAAATATTACTTAATAATAAAAGACAACAAACTACTGATACTAACTACAACATTGATGAATCTCAAAATCATTATGTTAATATAACTACATGGACAAAGATAAATGCAAAATCATACTAACTTTATGAAATTCAGCAACAGGAAAAACCACTGATAGAAATCAGAACAGTGATTTCTTCAAGATGAGAAAGGATTGAAGGGGGCACAAGGGAATTTTCTTGAGTGATTGAAATGTTCTTTTTTTTTCTTAAGGCAGCAAAAACTATTTTTAGTATTATTTTATTGGTACATTTTAGGCGTACAATGTAATGACATTCATCATTGGAAATTTGCACCTTTACATAATCTCTCTTGGTTCTTATTTTCCCCCCTTCCCCTGCCTTCCCTTCAACCCCTCCATCCCTCCCTATTTACAAAGACTTTGTTTCCATCTTTTCATTTTCTCATATTAATTCCATTCC